GCCCGTTGAGGGATGGACGCATGCGAGGAAACCAGTTTACTTCACACGCGCACTTTAGAAAAGCAATATCAGACGCTCGTGAAAATGATCACATTTATCTGTTCAAAACACGTGCAATTTTAGCTGTTCGGCTAAAATGTCAGTTTGTGATAAAATGTTTGTGTTATGAGCGTTACCGCTTCTAACCACAACATTCTGCTCCGAGAATTGCTAAAACACTGGGGACGATATCCCAAAAATGGGTTTGCTGTAGCATGTTCCATTTAGTATGTCCAGTATTTGGATGAACCAAAAAGAAAGTTTCTGTCGTAAATATACCTTAAATTACTTTTGTATTACTACTTGACCGTGATTGTTTCCCTAAGAGGTGTGCCATCTCAGACATCGCCCTGAAAATCTGATTGTTGAACAGCATGAGGGCTTGTAGATTTAGTAATCTGCCAGTTCCATTCATTATTTTTCACGCAATCATTTCATGCTGAGTCGCATTACTATTCAAGTTCAGGAAGAAGGCTAAGAAAATTATTACCTCTCTGCCCCTCACAACGCCTGGATCACTTAACTGTATCTCTGTCCCCCATCTATATTTGTTTCGCAGTGTAGGCCTATTTTAAAATATTTTCATGTTTAACCGGTTCGCATTGGGTGTGCGTGTCTCGGGGCGTAGGTCAAGCTTTTGTGAAAACAGCCGTTGCAAATACGAATTTACAAGAAAAGGGGCTCTTTGTTCAGAATACTAGAGCTCATGATTTGTTTATACTCATACGGTAACTGCCTCTAAAAATGAACTGTGTTTTAGCCTAATGTTTCCGCCAGCTGTTGAAGAGCCATTTCTGACTGAAATAGTTCAGCTAATCTCGGTCAAAGGGAGACGCGTCTTCGCTCCTGCGGTTGATATATTCGTCTCTTAATTTGTGCAATGTGTGTAACTTAAGTCGACGCATCGTTCGTGTTAACTGTCACAGTTATATGATAGGCTACAACATCGAAAGCAGTGCCCCACACATAACCCCACATCCCTATTTCTGCTGCCCCGTCGTATCATGGTCGTCTTCCTTCCTGTGTATCAGTGTCTATATTCCCGTGGTCGACTAGGCAATACACTGCTTTCATATTGGATCGAGGAAGGGAAATCATGGGTCCTGGCGTTTATCAAGAAATGGGGCATAAATTGCTTGAAAAACTTTTAAAAGCAATGTTATCATGGCCTATTAATATATGGCTACTGCTGTTTCCGTGTAACCTTGTCCGTGAAATCTTAAAGCAAAACGAATACATCGGGCCCTCAGTTGTTATAAATAATGTTTAACAGATACAATATATTGGTTATATTGGCAAATATATTGGGATATTACAGTTTTTCTCAACTGTTTACACACTGTGACCGCACGTATACAAATATCTAAAGCTGAAGCTCATGTATCAAAAACCGAAACCACTTTTGCAAAACTATAAGCACATTTTACTTGTATTCACTCATACTACGATTCCAATTCACTCTTTTGCAAAACACCTCACAGACAGCTGTAAGTTACAGCAGTTTTCATAATGGAGTCTCCAGTTACTCTCATTAACACGTCACCTGTGCAAACTCAAATTGCTCAACTGTTCAATTACCCATCAGAGCCTTCCCATGAATTAAAGAGGTCATTTGTTAACTCTTCATTGCTGAACAATGAAATCAAATGTGGCAGAGAAGGGAAGAAGAAGAGGCAGGGGAACAGGAAGAGTTCAACTAAAAGGCCAATAAAACTTTCACATTGATGTCCCGTCCACTGTATTCTTATGTGCAGTAATATGCAATACGGCGGGAAAGTGAGCACAATAAAAAGTGAACTAAATAAAAAGTATATATATTTCAAATGAAAGTAAAACTGGAATTGTTGCCCCATATGTCAACATAATTGCATCTGTGTACAGAGCTGAAACAGACTGCACTACCAGACAAGGCGTTGGCAAAAATTAGATTAGATTAGATTCAACTTTGTCATTGTGCAGAGTACACGTACAAAGCCAATGAAATGCAGTTGGCCTCTAACCAGAAGTGCAAAAAAAAAAGAATTATTTACAGAAAGTGCGGTTAAGAGTAATAACTCCAGTGTAGGAAATGATATATTTTACAGTATGTACAGTGTTAACAGATAATAAATATGTATAATATGTTAATGTGTTATACATGGGGGGGTGAAGTGGACAGGGTTGGAAAGGGGAGAGTATATATAAGGGTTGTATGTACAGTATTGACAGATATGTACAGATGGTTGTATGTACAGCAAATGGCATTAGACTGGAACCTATTTAAAAGGACAATGAAATGTCCCTAAATATACACCACATAAGAATCACTACCACTGAATGTATCCTAAATAAGAATGGAATGAGGCTGCATCATTCTGTTTTGTTTTTCAGTCAAAATTTTCCCGGGTCTGAAAAATCATTCAGAAAAGAATATTTTCATATGTTACCGAAGCATTTCCAAAATGTGGAAGGATCGGGCTAGTAGCATAGTGTTTTCTTTTCATCATTGCAGTGTGAAATTGGTGATTACTGAGGGCTATGTGTATGATGCTTTGATGTGTGGATTGCTTTTATGCAGCTAGTTGGTTTTGAGGGGTGTTACCGTTTTTCTTAACTGAATTGGCACATTTCTGCAAACTTAAGTCTATTCTCTCTAAACATTTGTCTAAACAGGATTCACTTTGCAAAACAGCCAAATTCCGTTGCAAAATGAAGTACTGTTCACACGTCTGATACTACATTTATAAATATCTGTATCAAAATTTTAAAAAGGGATCAGTTATTGAGGTGATACCATATTCACATATATCACGTTTGTTGACTACACAGTGAGAGGATGAACATATATTGATGGTGCACACATGAAATCGCAATTTAAATGTGAAATGTACCAAATGTATTGAGAAAAACTGTAACACGACTTTGAAGACATTTTGCAGATATTTCATTTTGCAAAGGATTTGCGAGTTTTGCTGAGTCAACAAACTGTTTAGATCATCGTGCTAATAGTTTTGAGACCATGGCATACTGTTTCAAGAAATGTGTGTAAACAATTCAGAAGACTGTATTAATATAGATGCACAGACCGTTGAATGATTCAGGTAATATCGATGACTCGGATTTCTTCCCTTATCCTTGTCAATATTAAATAAAAATATGACTACATGTCGAATTCAATTGTGGGCGTGGCAGGTACTGAACTGAAGCGTTAAGCCTTCCACTAATTTTCAACAGTTATTGGCTAGGAGTTGTACATTTCCCGCCTTCATATTTTTATAAAACTAAATCAACGGTGCAGATTAACTCCATTTTTTGGTTTGTCACAGATTCGTTGACACTATTATCTGACAACACACGCATTTCCAAAGTTCAAAACTAAAAACTCTGAATTAAACCTTAAAACCGAGAGGAGGGTAAGCTACACGAGGGAGAATTATTACTTTATGTTTCAACACTGAGCAATTCAGCGCATCTGGATAGCTTCCGTGGGCAGTCTCACAGAATGTGAGAGCAGCACACTTGAAATGACACACAGACTTTTTTTGTGAAAACAATGTTTCGCAGTGTCTACCTGCCCCACCTTGACTGCGTAAATACTATGGCACAAAGCATACCATGACAAACGGGTTCTGAAATATAGCTACGACGAAATATAGGAACGAAATATAACAATAATACGATGAATGTTTCGCAAGAAAAAACAGACGACCTGACGTAGTCACAACTGACAAAAATAACAGTGTATTTTTCTTCACAATGGCTCTTCATTGAGACATTTTTTAATTTATTGAGGCATTCTAATGCAAACATGGCCTTGCAAAAAGGATCAGACAAATGCGTATTTGAGTCTTGTTAGATTATTGTTTGCTCCAATATTGTTGTTTCCATAATAATTAATGTTAGTGTAAATCTGACCTCAAGCCTCATTTAACCACATGTCAATAAATACACATCAATAAAGACATCTCAGGAATGACTTTTTGACTTTTGAACTTGAGACTTTATTACATAATATTTGGTGGAATATTTATTTTCAGTATTTTTAAGCAGAACTGGAAGTATCTGGATGTTATTGAGACAAAACAGTGCAACAGAGAATCCATTTGTTGCAATGCTCAACAATAAGATACCTTACCTGTGCGCGTCGAATGTACTTTGGAGATCATTTTCTTGGGATTAGTTTTAAAAATTCATTCTTTCTTCACGTGGCTTCCTCCCATCAATAATTTCTGGGCGAGGTGGGCGTTACAGAAGACCGCACCTGCCCTCAAAAATCTTCGTGCCTGCAACAAAAACCGCGCCCCTGCACCTGCAGCACACACACCGCTATACTTCAGCGCGCAGCAATCCAGCTACATTCTTCGATTTTAACTGTATGGTTGTGATTATTGAAACAGCAGGAAAGCGGGATATACTTTAGAATCACTTAAAGAGAGATGGACTCCACTGAGAGATGGTGAGTGGAAAACAAACAAAAATCAGGGTCTAGAACGCGACAGAGCACGAGATAATAATATTTGTGTGCCCATGTGAGGATTAGGCGGGTTCGTTTATCAGCTGCGCACAAACAAGACAGCTGCACATTTCGTGATTGCGTTAAAAACGTCAGAACTCTACGATTATTAGCAAAATAAATACTTGTGTAGGCGTGTTTTCACATGAGTTACTTACGAGACAATTCCAAGGCTTCGGAATATATGTCTGAATTATATGGACTGAACCCATTTGTGATATATAGTACATGGGACGTAATCAGAGAAGACTTAAACAGAGTTTAAATAGATTTAGATGTGGCATTTTTCAAACCGAAATATTCATGCGTCCTATAATCAGTAAATCAAAGCCACCGAAGTTACATTACATTGCTGTCATTTTGCAGACTCTCTTATTCTGAGCGACGATAATTTGACATGTTATCAATTTATACAGCTGGATATTTATTGGGGTGATTCTGGGTTAAGTACCAAAGGGTACGACAACAGTGCCCCAGCGGGGAATTGAAGCACTAACCTTTCGGTTACAAGCCAAACTCAATACCACTACACCACACTGCCTGAACTTGAAAGATACGTTAACTCAACATTAACGTTCATATCCCTTTGTTTTGTTTTCAGCAACGATATGCATAAGTATGTCCATTCACGAATTCATACCAATCACACATGAATACATTCTTACATAACTTCCAACTGATAATACCTTTTCACGTAAATATCGGGGAGTCCGTGAGCATTAGTCTGATTTGTCTTTTCTAAAAATATATCATCAGTCTGTGAACATTAGGCTGTAATATCTTCATTGTATACCCTCATGGTATAATATATAATATAATTTAATATGGATAATATATTTAATTATACATTCAATTATATATGATATATAATTTAATATGGATAATATATTTAGTATGTATAATATATGAATAATATTATGGAGGAAACTACACATTGTTTAGATTTATCGGGAAAATAAATGGTTTCATTGCGTCAAATTAAACACTTTTTCTTATTTTCTTTGTGTCTCGCGCTCGTCCTTGAAAATGCCCAGCTGTGAATTTTGTCACAGGTGCAGAAATCTCGTTTTCATGACCAGGGATAAAATGTGTTTCCGCTGTGAATTGGCAAGTGAGGGTGCTCTATGGCGCGTTCACAGCTGAAGGAGAACGACGTTCTGGTCACCATACTGCTCATTCCGTGAGCTAGTCGATGGGGATTAATACTACTACTGTTACGGATTCTACAACTACAACAACAAATAATAATATTCCAAGATTACTGCTGCTGTAGTGCGCAGTGACATACAAGGCAACACCAAGGGAACCAATTTATCAGATAAACCCAGATCTTAGGTCAGACGGTACATTAGGGATCTGGGCAGATTTCAATCAGATGAATATAGGTGCAGTCAGATGAGGTACGTGACCGCATGTAATTCTAGTGGGTTTTCAGAAGATGATTGCAGTGAGCCGCCTCTGCCTCACTGGCTGGGGTAGGAAGCTCAGTCCACCACTAGGGGACAGGGTTGTGAACGAGCTGGCCCTCATTCGGTATTCTCGGTGCTCTGAAGCATGTCTGACCCAAGGTCCAGAGAGTTGGGGTGGGATGGAGAAGTCTGGGCGGATGGTTTTGGCTTGGAGGCCAGGAGGAGACTGCAGTAGTCCAGGCGGTACAGCCAGGGGCGGGGCCAGAGGGGGGGCTTTGGGGGGCATGGGCCACCCTTGAGATTTGATTGGCCACCCCGGGTGCCACCCGAAAAACCTGGTCTATGATTGGCCATCAACCAGGTCGAAGGCAGGACTTTTCTTGATGACAGCATACAGATTCTGAGCGTTCTTCCAGGAAGAGGTGTCAGCGTCGAACGGCAGGTGTATGAACATTATGTGCGGCAGCAATGTGAGGTTAATTACGTGACTTGTGAAATGCATTTTCTCTTATGCTGGGAAATATGTTTATCCTATGGTTGGATAAAAACAGATAATGGTAATTGTTAATTTGATTAAAGAAAAACGTATTTATATAAACATGTTACATTTCCATCGCAGCATCGTTGATTGGCTGTTCACAATGCAGACAAGCATCTTATTATTGGTTAAATAAATTCTAAAATAAAATAAAATCTCAAAACCTTTGGCCCGATCTAGTAATTACACTTGTAAAGGCATCAATCTTGTGTGCACAATTAAAAACATTACCCATCTAAAGTTTTACATTTCTTTTGCGGGTGATCCTCAAAGAATAGGGGAGCGCGGGGCACAACCTAACACATTTTGGTTTTTGCGAAATAATTTTAAAAATATTTAAGTTGGAATAATCATGTTTTTATACAAGCAACATATACACCTCTGCTACAAATGAACACTTGAACTTTGTTTCTCACACCTACCGTTCATGTACAATTCCACCGAAAATGACGGGAGGTGCAATGTTACAACTTACCCCATGGGTGGGGTTACTTGTAACAGACAGAGGGTTAGTTGTAACACTTGCTAGAAGAGTCTGATGAATTAGTGCAAACAAAGTTAATTCAATATAATTCTATACTGTATGAAACAAATATATTTTCTAACCATACTGCATTATATATTATCTATCTATATGACAGACAGACAGATCAATCGATAGATACACACAAACGTCAAATTATATATAAATTATTATAAATTATATATGAATACTGACATGACTGACATGACCCTTGTCTGTTTTTCCTACTCGATGTCTCATTCTGTGAATAAAAAGTTACATGAAATCAGTTGTTTTTATTTTTTATGAGAGAGAAATAACTTCTTGTCATTGTTTACGAAAGGTGGCTTAGTTGTAACGCCGTGTAACAACTAACCCCACAGTATGGAAGCTGTACTTAAGCCCAGCTAGTACTTGCTGTGAGTTCGTCACATGTGTCAAAACGGTGCTACATTATAGGCAACAAGATGGTGATTAAAGTAATATAAGGTTGGATTTTGTGATTTACACACACAGCTCAGTAACTGAAAAATACTTGTGATGAAAAAAAATACTTGCATGCCCTGAAAACACTCTTTGGCACAGATTTCTTCAAAACGCTGAAGAATCTTTCTGAATTTTCGGGGGAGACCGTGGCTAGGAAATGTGGTAATGTGGTCAGAAGCACACGCTGCTTGACCTTGTATATAACATAGAAAGTCTGTGTTACATTTTGCCCCGCGTTAGGTTGTTCCCCGCGCTCCCCTACGTAGCCTATATGACGACAGCCGCACACAATGAGATTTAAATTCAGGCGGTTCCTCTGGAAAAAAGAAGCCATTTTTCAGTGCAGTGATTTAACTTTGAAAATGAACGATTTAAATGCGCGGTCAACAAGAACTTATAATTTTGTTAGAAGAAGCAAACGAACACATTGCAAATCCGCAAGCAGCGAAATACCGGCATAGCAAAAAGAAACGCAAAAAGGGAAAGTATATGCTTTAAGGTAAATGGCGTGTGAAAAAATAGCGGTAGATGAAATAAGAACATAAGAAGAACATAACAACATATCATGACGAGAACAGGCCATTCGGCCCAACTAGGCTCGCCATTAAAGAGAGTCCAAAACTGCATCAAGTCTGGACTTGAACACAGTAAGGGACTCTGCTTCAACTACATGACCTGGCAACCTATTCCATGTATTGATAACTCTTTGTGTAAAATAGTATTTCCTTATATCAGTGCAGAACTTAATCTTCAGTAGTTTCCATTTTTGTCCCCTTGTTCTACAGACTGAACTCACCCTAAAAAATGTATTATAGTTATTGAGTCCTTTTTTAAATTTAAAAACCTCTATTAGATCACCCCTAAGTCTCCTCTCAGTAAGTCTAAATAGGTTAAGTAACTTGAGTCTTTCCTTGTAGCTTTTTTCATGCCAGGAACTAATTTAGTTTCCCTTATTTGAACTTTTTCAAGAGCCTCAATATCTTTCTTATAGTGCGGTGCCCAGAACTGCACACAAATATTCCAAGTGAGGTCTGACTACAGCATTGTATAATTTCAATATAACCTCTTTAGATTTATAATCAATACTTTTTGCTATATATCCCAAAATCCTGTTGGCCTTTTTTACTGCTACAGCACACTGCCTAGATCCTGTTAAGCTTGGGTCAGCCATTACTCCTTTTCAAATTGAGCACATTCTAGTTTTTTCCCCCCGTGAAGTAGTCTTGTCTAAGGTTCTTATTTCCCACATGCAAGACTTTACATTTAGCTAAATTGAATGTTATCTGCCAGGTATCTACCCACTTTTGGATGCTGTTTAGGTCTTCCTGTGTTACCTTAGTTGATTCTATACTGTTGGCTAGACCCCCTAGTTTTGTATCATCTGTGAATTTTTCTATTTTACTACTAACCTCTGCATCAAGAACATTTATGTATATAAGGAATTGCAAAGACCCCAACACCAATCCCTGCGGGACTCCACTTCATACACGACCCTGCTCTGATACAATACCTGCCACAGTTACAGTCTGCTTTCTATTAGACAACCAGCTTCGAACCCACTCAATGATAGCTCCTGTAATTCCTGCAGATTTCATTTTCACTATAAGCCTCTCATGCGGTACTTTGTCAAATGCCTTTTGAAAGTCCAAATAGATAATATCAAAAGCTTGTTGTGTGTCTAAACACACTGTAGCTTCCTCAAAAAAGTCCAGGAGGTTTGTTAAGCATGACCTCCCTCTGCGAAAACCATGCTGGCTATCATTTAAGATACCATTTTGTTCAAGGAATAATTCCAAATTGTCCCTAATGATGGATTCCAGTAATTTACATGTGATACAAGTTATGCTGACGGGCCTATAATTTCCTGGATCAGTCCGGTCAACTTTCTTGGAGATAGGTACTACACTGCCATGTTTGCAGTCATCTGGTATTTCTCCAGTTTTGAGAGATTGCGTAAAAATAACTGTCAGAGGCTTGTAAACCACTTCCGCTAGTTCCCTGAGAATTCTTGGATATATTACATATATTCCATATATATTCGGGGCCTACAGCCTTGTTTGTGTTAAGTTTTTGGAGTTTATCTCGTACTTCTGCATCATTTAAATCGATTTCCTCCATAAGACTGAGAACTGAATGCACATGTGAAAACACTTCAGTAGTGAAACTCTCCACAAAGTAACTATTTAGGGTATCAGCAATAGCTTTGTTTTCATAAACCATAACTCCACCTTTATTTTTATACTTCTTGTCTCATCCTTAACTATCCTTTTACGACTATAGTATTGAAAAAAGTGTTTAGAATTGCTCTTTGCATCTAGTGCAATCTGTCTTTCAAAACGCCTTTTAGCTTCCCTTATTTTTTTCTTAACTTCAGCTCGCATATTACTGTATTCAATGTTATTACTCTCTGAGCTGTCCAACTTGTATTTTCTAAATAATTTCCTTTTTTGTTTCAAACTGTCCCGTAACGACTTATCCATCCACTGTGGATGCTTCTTTTTCAGGTTCCCTTTTCTCACTTGTGGAATGAATTTATGCTGTACATCCAGAATAATCGTTTTAAATACACACCGCATTTTTCACAGTTTTGCCATCTAGAAGAGGTACCCAGTTTATATTCCTTGTATAATCACACATCTTAATAAAGTTAGCTCGTCTAAAGTTGAAAATTCTAGCATTGGAGAATGCAGACTTAACTTGCCAAAAAACTTCAAATGTAACTGCACTATGGTCACCTGTTCCGAGTGGCTCCCCTACCTCAGTACTGCAAATTCTATCAGGACTATTACAAAGAACCAGATCTAGAACTGTGTTCTCTCTTGTAGGTTGAGTAACAGACTGTATCAAAAAGCAGTGATTTACAATATCTAAATACTCTTCCTCACATTTACCTTGACCTGGTGGCCTATAACATACTCTGACATTCAGACCTTTTACATTTTCCCCCCAATATTTTAATCCATATGTCTTCAGTAACACCAAGGGGCTCCATTCCTGGAATTTCCTGAATATTAAGATTATCCTTTATATAGACAGCTATGCCCCCTCCTCTTCTATTGGTTCTATCTTTTCTTAGCAGCTTGTATCCCTCTATGTTATACTCATCCCCATCTCCTGCACCAAGCCACGTCTCTGTGATCCCAACAACATCATAATTACTATTACTCATAATAGTTTCTAGTTCCAAAATTTTATTTTTTATGCTTCTGGCATTTAAACAGAGGAATTTCAGGGTACTGCGTGTGTATCTCCTGTCTTTCCTCTCCACTCCCAGCTGCTCAAAACCACCACTATTGTAGTGCTGCACTGACTGATTTGCAATCAAGGTTCCCTCACTGCTAATAACATACTTAGCCATGGTGTGTTCTATTCCGGCAGTCTGTCTATCCCTATCCATCTCACTGTATAACCTCCCTGCCCCCCAGACCCTAGTTTAAATAACCCTCTGCTACACTAAGCACACGTTGGCCCAATGCAGCTGTACCCCTCCGGTTCAGGTGTAACCCGTCCCACTTGTACAGGTCACCCCTGTTCCAAAAGGAGTCCCAGTGTCCTATAAACCTGTACCCCTCTTTCCTACACCAGGTTTGTAGCAACATGTTAAATCTACATATAAAGGCTTGCTTCCCTTTGCTTGCACATGATACTGACAGAGAAGACTACCGTGGAGGTTCTGCTCCTAATCTCCGCTAGCTCAATAAATTTGTCCTGCAGAACCCTGAACCTACCCCTTCCTATGTCATTGGTTCCAACATGGACCATGACCACTGGATCCTCCCCTGCTCTGGCCAGGAGCTTGTCCGCACGCTCCAGGAGGTCTCCAACCTCGGCACCAGGCAGGCAACAGACCATGCGAGACTCCTTGTCGCGTGAACACACTATGCTATCTACCCCTCTAATGATTGAGTCCCCCACTATCACTATAAAAAGAAGTCAGAAATATTTGAGGCAAGTACCCTGGTTTAAGTACAACCCCAGGGGTCGAATGTCGGTATCTGAACAGGTGTCAGAATCCAAGGACGTAATGCATGCGTATGAACTTTCGCCTTAGAATACAGAGCAATACAGGCATACGTAACAATATAAACGTCATCTATAAATTCTATACAACGGTCACTAATTCAAAATAAAGAACAGCAATGGTCAAAACCACAGGAATAGGGACTCTCTCCATTCAGGTTCATATGCTCCATCCCTGTTCCGCTCATCTTTGCAATAAGAGCGGAAGAAATTACCCAGCGTATTTTGCTACAACACTGGATACAACCCCTTTGGGCTCACACACAACCTGCCCATTCAATGAGTGTGTGTGTTTGCACTTCCTGTACACACATTCCATATGTGAGGGGAAACAGCAGACCACGGGAATAGTCAATAGCTCAGAGAGCATCTGTGAAGCCAATGATGTCAAGTCCATGTTTGATCTTGTGCATGGCTTCCCGAGTCCTGAGGAACATCTATACATCCAGCTGACATCCATAAGATGGCATTCAGAAGCAGGGACAGTGCACCAGAGAAAGCTGACCGAGATTCCCACAGTACACACTGTGGCACGCTTAAAATAACCCTAGGCTAGACAGTGCCATGTGGCACACAGTTTTGCCAATGCAGGGATAGGGTGACTCATCTGAATGAGTGGCTCCAAGTCAGCATCTGATTTTCTGATTTCTGCATTATTTTTGCATCAGACACCTGAAATAGAAAAATGCATGGTGAAATACCCCTTCTGCCATAAGTCATACTCTTTGATGGTGCCTATGTCTCCTATATGGTGTTGAAACTAGAAAGTATTGTCCACCCCCCCCCCCCCATAATGTGTAGAAAATATAACCTGAAATATTACATACATTTGAATGGATTTTTTCCCTAAAATAAACAAAATATACCCATCACTTGCAACACTTATTGTGAAAGAAATTTTTATGAAAAATAGAGAATGGAATAATTAAGTTTGGAAAAGCAGTCACCCCCTGAGGTATTTAACATTTAGTATTTTGTTGCTCCTCCTTTTGGAGAAATACCAGCCTCAAGTCTTTTGTGGTCTGTTGTAACAACCTTTTTGCATATTGACAGTTTAATCAACACGGTGGCTCAGTGGTTAGCACTGTTTGCCTCACAGCAAGAAGGTCCTGGGTTCGAATCCTGGCTGTCCCAGGTCCTTTCTGTGTGGAGTTTGCATGTTCTCCCCGTGTTTGCGTGGGTTTCCTCCGGGCGCTCCGGTTTCCTCCCACCATCAAAAGACATGCATGTAAGGGTCAATACTCCTGTCAGTGCCCTTGACCAAGGCACTGGCAAAAAGAACTGGAGGTGGTCCCTGGGCGCTGCACTGTGGCTGCCCACTGCTCCTGGCTCCTGGTGTGTGTGTGCTCACTGCTGGTGTGTGTGTGTGTGCTCACAGCTCACTGTGTGTGTAGGATGGGTCAAATACAGAGGATGAATTTCCCCATGAGGGATCAATAAAGTATATGATTATTATGATTTGATTATTATTATTAATCTTCACTCACTCTTCCTTGCAAAATTGCTCCAGCTGTTGCAAATTGCTTGGGGACAAGTGGTGTTCTGCAATTTTCAATTCCTGCCACCAATGTTCTATTAGATTTACATCTGGACTTTCTTGTTTTTAAGATATTCAAGAGCTATTTTATTTTTGTGTTTGTGTTTCAATTTTTTCTATGCAATGTCTAATGGTGGGACAGGCAGGTGTACTGAACCTTATAAAGACAGGTTCAATCTGACATATTCAATCTGACGTGATAACTACCTTAATTTCACACAAGTGGATTCCAGTAATGTGTGAATTCTAAAGGAAACTGATTGAGCCAGAGCTTTTTTAAGAATGTTATTGCTGAAGAAGTGAATACTTTTAAGATTTTTACCAATGAACCTCATATCACATCTCACACCAATGCAAATTTTTGGGGGTTTTATTTTTAATTGATTTTTTTTTCCTCAGCACGATCTTTGTACATTATATAGAACATGTGTAGGTTGTAAGAAAAAAACTGTACATCTGTCATGGTTTAAAATTAACGATAAAATGTGGGAAAATCCAAGGAGGGTCAATACTTTCCATGTACATGATTTCAGCCATGTCATCACTAACACCATTCAACTTGAATGGACACGCTTCTTTTCTTTTGCGAAGTAGGTCGCCCTGGATAAGAATGTCTGATAAATGAACATAATGTAATGACAGCATTTCCCATGTTTTTACTCAGGAGACCTGCCTCCTTGGGTGTTGGAACAGCATCACAAAAAACAGCAATCCTCCTTCTCATCATGGGTATGTAAAGGGACGTTTTTTGCAGCTAATCCATGAATATTGCAGGCTAATGCGTACCAATTGTCCAGTCCATCTCTGTATTGCTCAGTACCAAACACAAACACTGGTGGACACTGTTATTCCAATCCATCTCTGAATTGCTCACTACCAAACAGACACCAATTGGTACTATTTGTTTTAAAGAGTGTTAATGGGGAAGTGGAACTACAGCCAATAGCAGAGTAGAAGCAGAGCAGAGAGGAGTTACCTTTCAAATTTCTGTGAACGCTTCTTTCAAATCAATATATCTCGTAATTGTATGACGAATGCTCCAGAGCAATTTAAAAAGACAAAAATACATTAGTGTACATGAACACCTGCATTAGCTCAGTATTATTATTTATCCAGTGATCCAATCCGGTTAGCTTCAATGCCCCTTCAGCTGCCCAAGTATATCATCTGAGGATGAAGTAACAGCTGATACAGTTCCCCACATGTGATCTACCAAAGGCATTGTATGACATTAACATGGCCTTCTTTCATTTGTAATCAACAGTTTTGGCTGTGTATCCCAACATCCCCTTTGCCTTCTGACCACTTAAGCACCATGCCAACAACTAGAGAGACTTGTGTCAGCTATTACACTCAGCAAACTACAGCAGAAACAACAGTCCTCTTCATGTTGCAGTCTAATTTTGTACCAGCTATAAAATAATCCTGCCTTCCACTTTTATTGCCCAAATCTATAAATCTGCATTTACAAGGGAATTCAAAATATATAATATTATCAGCCTAACTTTGAAATAGTGTATCACTTATAATACTTACGAATAATTCTAATCTATTCCTTAAAATAGGCCACATAATCTAACACAAGATGCCAGTCAAACTGACCAGCCTATTAGTTTGACCACCTTTCTTATACTTATATTCTTATTACAGTTATATAACTTATGCACTCTCTTGGTTCCAATTTTCTTTTGCAGTGATGACCTGGGGGGAGGAACAGTTTGGGTGGAGGGAATTATTTGGTCAGTTTGGTCAGGGGGATTATCAGATAGCCAGATGGAAAGTTTCTGATTTGGGAATTTAGCCAGGACACTGGAGAACCCCCTACTCTATGTAAAAAGTGTCATAGGATCTCTTTCATGATTACAGAGTCAGGACCTCGGTTTAGAGTCTCAACCAAAAGACAGTACCCTGTAGGGCACAGCATCCCCATCAATGCCCTGGGGCATTGGTTTCCTGTAAGATCCTGTAAGGGAAGGCTGTTGGCTATACATATCTAACATGAATATGTTGTTGTCACTTAACCCCAAAGGCTCAAGTTCATCAGCACTGCAAACTGTATCAGGGTTAAACCCCTCCCCCCCAAATTTACTAAATCCAAGAACTTTTTACCCAAATTATCCTGACACAGTTGCCCAGTTAAGAGAGGGGAATTTAAAAGTCACCAATATGGCTCTCTTCATTGACACTTTGATGATGTCGTCATAGAGCATAGTATTGAGGTAATGTCCTGATGCCAGTGGGTGGAACGTATTCCCATGTTAAAGCCCTTCTCCTGTTCCCCCTTAAATGTACCCCAGATACAGATACGTCTTGTGTCAACAACACAAGACGAATTTTAGATCATTCACCAACTCATTCAAACAGATACAACAAAAATATATTGATAACTGTGTCAAAACAATGAAGATGTGAAGGGGACAGATGCAGTGTTCGCCATATCTATATGAAGGAGAGACTGAAATGAAAAATAACGTGCATGAAATTCTCTGATGGAATAAAGCCAAAACAAAACAAAAGAAAAAAAAATTGTCTGAAATTTTCAACAAAGATGATATGTGTTTCTAACATACTTCTGGGAGTAGCATCTGGGATATAAGCTCATTTGTAAATTAAATGAACTTATCGTATGGCAAATTCATTTTATTAAAAAAATAATGAAAAAAAAAAATGAAATTAATGTTCATGGATATTTCTCGTTTCGCTGAACTCAGCTTGTATTGGCTACTACCACGAAGGAGCTACAGCACATACATCCACAAATGCTCCAGCAACAACAGAATCATCAACAGTCGATTCCCCAACAAAAAAATCAGAACCTAAAACACCAAATTCCCTCACAACTACAGCAGAAGCAACAGCAACAAACTCTCCATCAGCTAAAGTAAAAGCTACCACAGGGATTTCTCCAACAACCACAGCAGGAACAAGAAATTCTCCAACAACTACATCTACAGCTACAACATCAGCTCAAACAACACTAGAATTCACCACCACAACTAATGCTCCAACAACCACAGAAGTAACTACAACAACGAGGTTTCCAACAACTACAACAGAAGCTACAACAACAACCTCTCCAACAACTGCAGCAGAAGCAACAGCAACAAACTCCCAAGCAGCTGAAGTAGAAATTACCACAGCGATTTCTCCAAAAACCACAGCAGAAATTGCAACAACCATTTCTCCAACAATCACAGCAGAAACAACAACAATTTCTCCAGCAACTACATCTGCAGCTACAACATCAGCTCAAACAACAGTAGAATTCAGTACCACAACTAATGCTCCAACAGGCAGACAAGAAACTACAAAGAGCACTCCAACACCGTCATCAGAAGCGGCAACAACAAAATCCTCATCACCTACAGCAGACGGTACGATTTCTCCAGCAACTGCACCAGAAACTACAACAGCCATTTCTACAAAAACCACAGGAGAAACTGCAACAACCATTTCACCAACGACCACAACAGAAACGATTTCTCCAAAAACCACAGCAGAAACTGCAACAACCATTTCTCCAACAATCACAGCAGAAACAACGTCTCCAACACCCACAGCAGAAACTTCAGCAATGATTTCTCCAACAACTACAGCTGCAGCTATAACATCACCTCAAACAACAGTGGAAATCACCACAACTAATGCTCCAACAACCACAGAAGTAACAACAACAACCAGGTCTCCAACAACTACAACAGAAGCTACAACAACAACCTCTCCAACAACTACAGTAGAAGCACCAGCAACAAACTCTCCAGCAGTTAAAGTAGAAACTACAACAGCGATTTCTACAAAACCCACAGCAGAAATTGCAAACAACCATGTCTCCAACAACCACAGCAGAAACAACCATTTCTCCAACAACCCCAGCAGAAACTACAATAATTTCTCCAGCAACTACATCTGCAGCTACAACATCAGCTCAAACAACAGTAGAATTCAGAACCACAACTAATGCTCCAATAACGAGACAAGAAACTACAAAGAATACTCCAACACTGTCATCAGAAGCGGCAACAACAAAATCCTCACCAACTGCAGCAGAAGCTACAACAACGATTTTTCCAAAACCTCAACAGAAACTGCAACAACCATTTTCCCAGCAACCACAGCAGAAACAACTATTTCTTCAACAACTACATCTGCAGCTACAACATCATCTCAAACAGCACTAGAATTCACCACCACAACTAATTCTCAAACAACCACAGAAGTAAATACAAAAATGAGGTTACCAACAACTACAACAGAAGCTACAACAACAAGCTCTCCAACAACTAGAGCAGAGGCAACAGCAACAAACTCCCCAGCAGCTAAAGTAGAAATTACCACAGCGATTTCTCCAACAACTACAGCAGGAACAAGAAGCTCTCCAACAACTACATCTGCAGCTACAACATCAGCTCAAACAACAGGAGAATTCAGTTCCACAACTAATGCTCCAACAGCCAGACAAGAAACTACAAAGAGTACTCCAACACCTTCATCAGAAGCGGCAACAACAAAGTCCTCATCAACGACAGCAGAAGCTACAACAACAACCTCTCCAACAACTGCATCAGAAGCTACAACAGTGATATCTTCAAAAACCACA